TTTCCTTGAACCCTGGCCTTCCTTTTGAACATGGCTCCAGTGACAGCTTCCACCTCTACAAATCTTTTGTGAATCGTTTTAGCCCAGTCACATTGAAAGTGATACTGTATTGATTCCCCCTACAGCTTCATACTCTTCCAACAAAGTCTCCAGAAACAAATTGCCAAGTTTCCAATTGCTCATGCCTTGTTGGTTACATGGGAGTCCCAAACATTATCAACCCTGACTGGCCTTGATGGCAAACCTAGTCCTGCCCAGCCTCACTCCTCCCGTAATACTTTTACTGGGACGGTTTGCATCCCTCATTGATTGTCCTGTCTGACAAGGACTGGTCAGACTGAAAGCAACCTGCTCTTCTGCCTTGTTAACTGTGATAGTGTCAGCACAGCGCTACAGTATGATTGCAATGTAGGGGATCTTGGCCCTCTTTCCCCCTTTCAAAACGAGGAAAATGGTACAGTACATTTTTTACCAGATGGTAAATTATTATTATTATTATTATTATTTTTTTCTTTTTACTAATGTAGGTTTAATACACCCCTAATCCCTTGCTCGTTGTCATAGGGAGGGAATGGGAGGGCTTCGGAGACAGAGACTAAAGCCCAGTGTAAGGGATCAACTTGGACCTTTGCCTCAACTAATTTTGCATTTTTTTTTTTTCTCTTTCTCCTATTCTTTACCTTTTCATAATCCCTGTCTATCCACATCTTGAAATGAGAACAGTAAATGAAAGGATGAAACTGGCTTTGTCTTGAACAGCCTTCATAAACCTACTCCATTTGCTCTTCCCTCTTTACCCTTTTCACTACCATACGAACTTACAATGCTGTACACCCTTTGAGATATAACTTATTTTGTCGTAGACCTTAGATGCTGATGTGGCAGAAAATTTCAATTAATGCAATAGTAGTGTAGGTTCAATATATTTATCTTTAGTCAGCTAATGATATACTATATAAAAAGTGGAAAATTCTGTATTGCCGATTTATAGTGGGTGGTTACAATCTACATGCATGCTTATTCACATCACAACAATGTAGGCATTTCTTCAGGAGAACTTGGAAATTATCAAGGTTTTTTAGTAAATGCATTGAATAGCTATATTTTCAGAATAAAAAGGAAAAAGGCTGAATAACTTGCAAACTAGTTCGAACTTTTTTTAAGTTTCTATTCAAGAGTATGCATCCTCCTGATTTAATAGATTGAGGAAATGGTTGTCTTTGTAATGCCTGATTTAATTTTCTTTATTTTGTTTTTATTTATTTTATTTCATTTTATTTTTTTACTTTTGTTGAATATTCTTGCCAAATTTGGGGGGGGGGGAGGTTTTCATATGCGTTTCCTGAAATTCAAAGTTTAAATTAGCCCCTTGGATCTGGATGTTTCAAGAATCATATTAGGATTACGTGAGTGGCAGAGTGCAAAGGAACACTTGTATGCAGTGGCAAGACTCTATGCCTCCTAAGTGTTTTTAGCCTTGCCAGTGTCCATATTTATCATTGGATTTACTGAATCCAGATGGTAATAGACTATATTTTCCTTGCACAGACGCCATATCATCTCCAGAGCTCAGTCCAAGAGTATTAACTAAGCAACATTTTATTTTTTTATTTTTTGTAATATTCATTTTTCAGTAATACAACCTGCACTGCTAGTCAGAGGCTAGGAATAGGATGCTTGTGCGTGGAAACAGCATTTTCCCAGGTACTGACACTTCTGGTCATGTCTTGGCCACTACATTACACACTCGTATGTTGAAGGCATTATGCAAAAGCCCCTTTTTAAATGCTATATATGCGTCCAGATTTTCCCGTTACAGCATGTTCACATCAGCTGCCCCTCAAGCTAAATTTTTATGACGCGACATTCCTGTCATTTGAATTGTAGGGGTTAAGAGTGAGCATTTCTCAATTTTTTCATTTTTATTGTAATTTATTCAAGCAAGACTGGAAGATTGCACTGTTACTTCATTTGGTTTCATGTAAGTGAAGTTAATCAAAGAAAGTAAAAGGCAAACACTCATGATGATAATTAGGCTCAAACTACTGAATCTTGATGTGAATCGAGAGCTGAATGGAGATGGGAGATTTTGAAATTTGATGAAAATATTATGTTCAGGTTAATGTTATGGAGACTGCATGCACATGACCAAGTTATCAGTAAGTATAAGGATCCTTTGGTCTTTGTTTGTAGAAAGATGAGTCCTTAGAAGGTTCCCACTCCAGGTGTTTCTCACTAGAACCTTACTGTAATTCTCCCATTTGATTTACATGTAGATTTATTGAGCAGACAAGTTATAATTACAAGCGTTAATTGGTTTCATAACAAAGGGAATTGAGTTGTTGAGCATTTGAATGAAGTAAACATTTGTGCACGGCCTACACCTATATTTTATAGGTTGGCAGATTAACCCAATCGCGACGGGTGTCCCATATATGAGACCCGAAAAAAATAAACAATACCGGGTGTCCTGCCAGTGTGACACTGTATCGGGGCTGTACTCTGACGCAGCAGCTCCGCCTGCCGATTTTGTAGCCTCCCGGAATATTTTTATTTTGGCTACATAATGTACCCGTCGTGAATGGGTTAAGGAGAAATAGATATTTTCAAAAGTTTTTAATAGCAATACTTGTAATTCACCATCTAGGGGTCAACTTTCCATTATTATTTATCTATTTTAGTATAAGCTGTTATATCTATCATACAAAATATGTCCTGATCAAATTAAAAGGGAAGGATGGAAACCTAATAGTTAATTTGTATTTAGTGAAACTGAAAAGTGAAAAAATAAAATGCAAATATTTATCTTACACAAGATACTCTTTAGTTTCAATATATGAATGTTAATGTGCTATGATTACTGTGCTAGGAGTGTAGTAACAATAGATTTTTGTATTGCAGATTCATCCAGATTTGGGAGTTCTACATCCATTTACTAAAATCATTTGTAAGTGAGATCTTTTGAATGTTGACACTTTTTATATAGAATGAAATGATGAAAATATAAAGGTTCCCTCTAGTGAGTTTTTTTTTTACCAGAAATGCTACTGTTCTGTATTTTTTATTTATTTATTTTTTTATTATTTTTTATTTTGTATTTTTTCCTTCTGAAAAAAATAGAAGTGCAGCTTAGATGGGTATTAATTATATGTACTAAGTGTTTTGTTTTCTTTTTTCCAGAAAGATAAATGAAATTTGAACATCAAACAGATCATAAGTAAAGATGCATGTTATGCATGCATCATGTGTTGGTCCATTCTGATTTGACATTAAATGGGTATGTTTACCTTTTAATTTGTTAGTTTTTCTTGATGAATAATTGATAGTGATCCACAAAAGCCATAGGAGCTTGTTTATATATTAAAATTGTAACTGTCATAAGGTCATTGAAAGATTAATTTACATTGTCAATGAGATACTGTCCAAAGGATGTAATTATAAGAATTAATCAAGTCAGTGTATTAGATTTTTGGTGTAGATTAATCTATGTTTCAATTTGAAATTATCAGCAGCAGAAATCATACTTGTTGCTTACCCACAACACAACCATGCTGTAGCTTTTTCTTCTGAGCAATATGGAAGTGTATGAAGACATTTGTTATGTAAATGTACCAAGTAGCTTTTGTAATTTCAGAAAAACGAGAGATTGTGGAATGAAATTCTTGTTTACTCTACGTGCATTTGCCTAAAATATCAGTAAGTGAAATCATACTTTTTTTTCTATATTTTGTGTAAAATGATGAAAATAGAAAAGGTTCCCTCTGCTGAGGTTGCTTACCCACAACACAACCATGCTGTAGCTTTTTCTTCTAAGCAATATGGAAATTTATGAAGACATGTGTTATGTAAGTGTACCAAGTAGCTTTTGTATTTTCAGAAAAATAAGAAGAGAGATTGTGGAATGAAATTCTTGTTTACTCTACGTGCATTCGCCTAAAATATCAGTAAGTGAAATCAAACTACTTGTTTCTATATTTTGTGTAAAATGATGAAAATAGAAAAGGTTCCCTCTGCTGAGGTTGCTTACCCACAACACAACCATGCTGTAGCTTTTTCTTCTGAGCAATATGGAAATGTAGTGAGAAATGTAATTTTGTGCAAATGTACTAAATAGCTTTTGTATTTTCAGAAAAATAAGGGAAAGAACAGATGAAACAAATATCTTATTGGTTACTCTACGTGCATATACCTAAATTACCAGTAAGTGAAATCTGAGAAGTATGATTCCCATTTTCTATATATAATTCTTTATATAGAATTTTTTTTACCTAAAACCCAACTGTGCTGTAATATTTCTGTGAGGAATTAACCCAGTGCTGACGGGTAAAAATGTTTGGCAAGTGGATGTAAGAAGGGGATTGTTGGGGAGCATCGACAGTTTCCCCAGTTTGCGCCTGGCTTGATCAGTTGTTTGCGAGCGACATTTAGCACCTAAAAGCTTTTATTTTGCTATAATTTATAAAAATATTTGAATTTTGAAGGTTTACTTTCATTATCGGTGCCAATGCCCAAAATCTTTACCATATAAATGAAGCCGTTACTATCATAGGAAAACAAACTCCATCTGACGAGCCAGTGGCGTGGGAATGGGCATGACACGATGCCACCCGTCTTTTGGTCCACAACAGCCATGGCATGTATGTACATGCCACCTGTCTTTTGGTCCACAACAGCCATGGCATGTACGTACATGCCACCTGTCTTTTGGTCCACAACAGCCATGGCATGTACGTACATGCCACCTGTATTTTGGTCCACAACAGCCATGGCATGTACGTACATGCCACCTGTATTTTGGTCCACAACAGCCATGGCATGTACGTACATGCCACCTGTCAGCTAGGGGTTAATTTGCATTGTGACTGAGATAGTGTGCAAGAGGTATGAAAATAAATCTTCATGAAATCATTGTATTACAGATAATTGGAGTTTGGTAGTCTACGTGCTTAATTAGAACTTATCAGTAAGTGAAATTGTGATATTTGTTGTTTCTATAAACAAAACATGATGAAAATCGAAAAGGTTCCCTCTGCTGAGGTTGCTTACCCACAACACAACCATGCTGTAGCTTTTTCTTCTGAGCAATATGGAAATTTATGAAGACATATGTTATGTAAGTGTACCAAGTAGCTTTTGTATTTTCAGAAAAATAAGGAGAGAGATTGTGAAATGAAATTCTTGTTTACTCTACGTGCATTTGCCTAAAATATCAGTAAGTGAAATCATACTACTTGTTTCTATATTTTGTGTAAAATGATGAAAATAGAAAAGGTTCCCTCTGCTGAGGTTGCTTACCCACAACACAACCATGCTGTAGCTTTTTCTTCTGAGCAATATGGAAATGTAGCGAGAAATGTAATTTTGTGCAAATGTACTAAATAGCTTTTGTATTTTCAGAAAAATAAGGGAAAGAACAGATGAAACAAACATCTTATTGGTTACTCTCCGTGCATATACCTAAATTACCAGTAAGTGAAATCTGAGAAGTATGATTCCCATTTTCTATATATAATTCTTTATATAGAATTTTTTTACCTAAAACCCAACTGTGCTGTAATATTTCTGTGAGGAATTAACCCAGTGCTGACGGGTAAAAATGTTTGGCAAGTGGATGTAAGAAGGGATTGTTGGCGAGCATTGACAGTTTCCCCAGTTTGCGCCCGGCTTGATCAGTAGTTTGTGAAATCTGACGAGTGTGGTTCCCATATTCTTTTTATAGGTTCCCTTACTGAGTTGTTGTTTTTTTAACCTGAAAAAAATGTGCTGTAGTCTGTCTTCTGAAGAAAGTGCACTGAGATGATATAATTTGGATATGAATTAAATGTACTAATGGATGCATTTACACCAGAGAAATAAAATCAAAGCTGGTGTCAGAGTTTTGCATAAGTAAAGATGTTGCATTTGATGCATGCATCAGTGTTGTCTATTTCGATTTGATATGAATATATAAATTTATTGATCCACAAAAGCCAGATGATCACGTCTATATGAATTTTGGTTATTTTGAGTGATGAACAGCTGAAAAGAGCAAACATTTCTTAATGATAAGCATCATAAACTTGTGAATGAAATAATGTGCAAGGGAGGTGATTAAAAAAATTAGTGAAATCAATGTGTTGCAGATTATTGAAGTTGGTTAGTCTACGTGCTTAAGTTGAAATTGTCAGTAAGTGAAATCATACTTATTGTTTCTCTATTATGTGTAAAATTATGAAAATAGGAAAGGTTTCCTCTGCTGAGGTTGCTTACACACAACACAATCATGCTGTAGCTTTTTCTTCTGAGGAATATGGAAATGTAGTGAGACTTTATGTTGTGTAAACGTGCTAAATAGCTTTTGTATTTTCAGAAAAATAATGGAACGAACAGATGAAATGAATTTCTTGTTCTACATGCATCTGCTTAAATTGTCGGTAAGTAAAATTGTGGTGAATACTGTTCCCATATTCTATATGGAATTCAGTGATGAATATGGAGAAGGTTCCCTCTGCTGAGGTTGCTTACCCACAACACAATCATGCTGTAGCTTTTTCTTCTGAAGAAAATGGAAATGGATTGAGGTAGATGTAAAGTAAATGTACCTAAATGTAGCATTTTTTTTTTTTTTTTTTTTTTTCCAGGAAAATAGGGGAAATTACAAAACATCAAAAATACTAGTAAATAGAATTTTTACATTTTATGCATATGCAACATCACTGATCTTGTTTTGGTAGATAAAGGAAATGATTCTTTGTAATGCCCATCTTATGTTCCGTATTGATCATAATAGTATACTTGCTCACCATCTAGACTTTATTACCTATACTGGTGAATGTTTTTTTTTTTTTTTTTTTTCTTTCTTTTCTTTTCTTTTCTTTTTTTCTTTTCTTTTCTCTCTCCAAAATGGGTGTGTTTATCTGAATTTTGAAAATTAAACCCTTAAAGAATTGAGCATCTCATTTTTCCCATTTAATGAGAGCCATTTGAATTCATTTGTAAAATTATTTATAGTAACATATAGAGCTGAAGTTTTAATGAGGTTATTCAGGAAAGACTTTAAGAAGCTTCATTCATTATCCTCATATGTAATTAGTAGTTCATGAAGTCTGCAAAAGGTTCCCACTTCAGGACTTAAAACCTAGCTGTAATTCTTTAATTTGCTGTTAATTCTTTTTCATGACAGTGTAAAGTTGTGGGTTGTCTAGCATATGAATTGTGAAAAATAAATTGTCCATTGTGCATTCATAACCGTTATGTGATGGCAGTTGAAAAGTTGATATTTTAAAAAGTTTTCAAGAGCACTAACTGAAATCTACCATCTGTATTGTAGGTTCATCCAAATTTGTGGCATCTTTTATAACCATTACATAAATTAACGTCAGGAAGGTTGATATCATGTTCTCAAGGTTCCCTCTGCTGAGGTTTATTACCTGAAACCCAACCATGGTGTAGTTATTCTTTAGGAAGGAAATGGGAGTGCAGCAAGATGGATGTTCAGTAAATGCTACAAAAATATTTTTCTTTTCCAGGAAAATCAGTGAGATTTTCACACCAAAAACTTGCACAAGTGAAGGTTGTATTTTATCCAACTCTACATGCATTCTCCAATCTCTGATTTGACAGACTGAATGGGTATGTTATCTTTTTTTAAAGTAATTTGTGATCCACAAAGGGCACTTTGGCATGTCTGTATGATTGTAAGATGTCTTAAATGTCATAAACTCGATATAAGATGTTGGGGATGTTCTCATCTATCTCCCAAACAGTATAACATCAGTTCATATCTCATCTGAAATCATAAGATATGCGCTTCGTTATCTCCCATCCTCGTTCGCCAAAGTAGGGATCATGAAGTCTTGGATAAACCTGTTTATTATAGGGTTTGTAGAAGGAGTCTCTTCTATGTCTACTCTTTATTGTTGCTAAGCCTTGAGGGGTTACATACATTGCCACTAGGGCATACATTTGACTGGTCATAGAAAACAGATTGCACATCGTTGCACGGGTATCACAAACATAATAATTGTTAGTCAATTTATACATAGGAACTTAGTGTTAACCCATCCGTCCCGGGTGTCACATATATGAGACACAAGGAAAAAATAAACAGTTTCGGGCTGCCCGCCAGTGCGATGCTGTCTCGGAGCCGTGCTCCGCGGCAAAAGCGGCGGGTGGCCGGGCGGGCGGACAGACTCCGGGAAGCTCCGCCCGCCGATTTTGTAGCTTCCCGGATTTTTTTAATTTTGGCTACAAAATGTACCCCGGCGCGGGTGGGTTAATAGCATATATCATTTAGTGTATGTTAATAAATAACACTTCCTTCCCCCTTATGGAAGATAATACAATTTTTTATTTTAATTGCAAATGAGACTATACAAGAAGTGTAATTATAGAACTTGTATTATATATAAAATGATGAAAATAGAAAAGGTTCCCTCTGCTGAGGTTGCTTACCCACAACACAACCGTGCTGTAGCTTTTTCTTCTGAGGAACATAGAAGTGTACCGAGGCATGTGTTATGTAAATGTTATTACATAACTATTATATTGTTAGCTATTGTATTTTCAGAAAAATAAAGGAAACAGATCATCAAACGAAGGTTGTGTTACTTAACATACATATACATGCCCTGTAAGAATCGTAGCATCAGCACGAATATATAACCCTGGAAGCTAAGTGGAAAATGGCATAGGAGCTGATGAGCAAGGTTTCATACCCCCAGTTTCTCTAAGTTTTTCGATTTTAATGCAATGAATTAATCAAAAATTATGATGAGAAATGATTTGTGCTGATAATAAAAATATTATTGTATTTGTTTTTCTCTAAAACTTTATATAGTTGAATATGGGAAAACTAGTTGAAGTTAAGGAACTTTTATAAATATATGAAAGATCAGTGGAAATGTGAACTCTAGTAAACCTTCATAAAACAGAGCCTGCATCTGAGTTAATATCAGCAGAACTAGTATTTTGGGAATTATATAAATGGATAACAAATAGAAAGCTTAGGATGTTATGAAAACCTGAAGGTTCAAATGCATAATTGTAACCAAGATTTAAATGATCTCTAAATTCCTCATTTAATCCTGCAAAAGTATATTAGGTGCAGAAGAGGTGCTAAACCCTTCTGTATTAGGGAGCTGGCCTCAATGGGATTTCTACTTTGCTCTGGGTGTGTTCTGTGGTGTCTGTTCTACCTTTCGGCTAGGCTGATATGATACCTACCAGTAGCCCTTTTGGCGGGGCTGATGGGATACCAGTAGCCCTTTTGGCGGGGCTGATGGGATACCAGTAGCCCTTTTGGCGGGGCTGATGGGATACCAGTAGCCCTTTTGGGTGTGGGGCTGATGGGATCCAGTAGCCCTTTTGGCGGGGCTGATGGGATACCAGTAGCCCTTTTGGCGGGGCTGATGGGTAGCCCCTAGACCAGTAGCCCTTTTGGCGGGGCTGATGGGATACTAGCCCTCTGATGGCCCAGTCTCTTGGCGGGGCTGATGGGATATCCAGTAGCCCTCGGGGCTGATGGATACCAGTAGCCCTCTTGGCGGGGCTGATGGGATACCAGTACCCTCTGGCGGGGCTGATGGGATACCAGTAGCCCTCTTGGCGGGGCTGATGGGATACCAGTAGCCCTCTTGGCGGGCTGATGGATACCAGTAGGCCCTCTTGGCGGGGCTGATGGGATGACATAGCCCTCTTGGGGGGGCTGATGGGATACCAGTAGCCTCTTGGCGGGGGCTGATGGGATACCAGTAGCCCTCTTGGCGGGGCTGATGGGATACCAGTAGCCCTCTTGGCGGGGCTGATGGAGTATCTTGGCGGGCTGAGGATACCAGTAGCCCTCCCTTGGCGGGCTGATGGGATACCAGTAGCCCTCTTGGGGGCTGGGGGCTGATGGGATACCAGTAGCCCTCTTGGCGGGGCTGATGGGATACCAGTAGCCCTCTTGGCGGGGCTGATGGGATACCATTAGCCCTCTTGGCGGAGGCTGATGGGATACCAGTGCCCTCTTGCGGGGTGATGGGATACCAGTAGCCCTCTTGGCGGGGCTGCATGGCGATACCCTCTTGGCGGGGCTGATGGGATACCAGTAGCCCCCCCCCCCCTCTCTTCTCTCTCTCCTCTCTCTCTCTTCTCTCTCTCTCTCCCCTCTCTCTCTCTCTCTCTCTCTCTCTCTCTCTACTCTCTCTCTCTCTCTCTCTCTCTCTCTCTCTCTCTCTCTCTCCTCTCTTCCCCCCCCCCCCCCATGTAGGGATCTCCCCTACCTAGGGCTCAGCCCTCGACTCCACTAATTTTACATGGCCTTTTCTCTCACCATCTCTCATTTCTGTCCCTTCTCAAACCCCTTCTACAATCTACTTCCTAAGGTGTAAGAGCCGTGCTGAAAGGATGAAAGGCTGACTTTGTGCCAGTCGTGAACAGCCTGAAAGAACCATGGGCACGGTAATTTCCTTTCCGTTTTGTTGATCCTTTACCCCTCAAGGCGACCCAGAGGGGTGGACTTTTCATTTCCCCAACATAGGCAAAGAAGGAGCTCCACTCCCGGAGGACAGGATGTGGAAGCTCCGACCAGTCGTGGACGCCCTCGACGAGTCGTTCCTGATGATTTTCGTCTTGGGGCAGGACATCACTGTTGACGAGTCGTTGTGAAAGTTCCGTGGGCGGCTAGCTTTTAGGACGTACAACCCAACCAAGCGGGCGAAGTTCGGGTTGAAGGTCTATAAGCTCAGCACCAGTACCGGCCCGGCTGCAGGGTACACCTCTTGTTTCAAAGTGTACACCGGGCTAGACCGTGGCGACATGCCCTCATCCACGAAAGCGGTGTTTCATCTGATGGAGTATGGCGGCTTCCTTGACAAAGGATACCAGTTGTTTGTGGACAACTGGTACACATCGCCTACGCTCTTTCATTCGTTACCATCCTGAAAGACCAACGCGGTAGGCACACCCCTGTTGAACAGGAAGTTCATGCCCAAAAAGGACCTTTGTGTGAGGAGGAAGGGTGATGTCGATTACCGCAGCAGCAGGACGGGATTGTTGGTCTTGTGGAAGGACAACGCCGTCGTCGCCCTGCTGTCAATGGTCCATAACGCTGCAATGGAGGGGAAGACGCCGTTGGTAGTAAAGGATTACAATGTCGACATGAAGGGAGTCGACATTGGTGATCAGATGGCGAGCTACTATCCAACGCCTCACCGGTCCAAGGTCTGGTACAGGAAGATTTTCTTCAACCTCTTTGAAATGGCCATCGTCAACGCCTGGACACTCCATCGTGCCCTAGGCAGAAAAGGTTCGTTGAAGACCTTCAAGTCTGTCCTCTCCAGAGAACTCGTGGGGGAATTCAGAAGAGGGGCGGACTCCAGCAGGAACCACACTGCAGCGCGTCCACTGAGACAGTGGAAACACTGGGTGTCCGAGCTCCCTGACGGCAAGAGGAGAAGGTGTCGCTGGTGTACCAGGCAAGGGAAGAGAAAAAGCACCCATAGCTACTGTGAAGAATGCAATGTTGCATTTTGTACCTATGGGTGCTTCAAGGCCTGGCATGTAGTGAAGGAAGCTCGGGAACTGTAAGTTTCGTTATTGTCACTTGTCTTTGCGTTGAGGAATTCTGACTTTGAGAATGTATTACTTACTTGCATTTCTTTTCCTCTCCCACAGAGACGCGGTCGCCGCTCGCGGTCAAAGGGACACGGCAGTCGCCTTCATCGGCAGGAGTGCATGATCGCCCTCCATCGGGCTCATCTATGTCTCAGCCCTCGACCTTGACGGTAAGTTTCTTTACAGTCATGTCTTCTTTACATTTGTATTCGTTTTGAGGAATTCTGACTTGAAGAATATATTACTTACTTGCATTTCTTTTCCTCTCCCACAGAGACGCGGTCGCCGCTCGCGGTCATCGAAGCCGAAATTACTGCATTAGTCCCAACATGAGTGCTCAGACTCGGAGTCCCAACATGAAGGCTACTGCGAAAGCATCTGCCAAGGATGTTTTCTTTGATCAAGAACGAAAGTTAGAGGTTCGAAGGCGATCAGATACCGCCCTGGTTCTAAAATTTGCCTGTACATGCCTGTGTCGAGGCGTGGCTTACAGGTCAAATAAATAAAGTTGTTATATAAAAATATCTATGATTTTCCCTTACCATATCTTGGCAAGTGTTACTGAAAGAAACGTACATGGCATTATAGAAAGACTGGACTCTAACAAAAAAAAACGAACATTACATGGCTGTTTTATGAACACTGATTTTCCTTTTCCATATCTTAGCATACGCGCACATACACATTCGTATAGATATACTCATACCATAGTTTCTCTCACTATCTGTCTGTCTGGCTGTATCTACCTATCTATCAACTTCTTTCTCTCTATTTATTTTCGCGATCTCTCCTCTCTCTCTTCTCTCCTCTCCTCTCCTCTCCTCTCCTCTCCTCTCCTCTCCTCCTCTCTCTCTCTCCTCTCCTCTCCTCTACTCTCTC